CCCCAAAACCCCAAAACCCCAAAACCCCATGAAGAAAGAGCATGAAAAATTCGATAATTAAATAGACTTATTGCATAAACTAAATATTTAATTTTTATCTTTATATTCAACCTTAGAACTTTGTTGAATGCTGCCGTAAACTAAATAAAATTCATAAAGCATGATTAGCACTATTGCTTTGAAGAAAACTAGATCTTAAAAATCTTTGGGGATGACCGACATGCAATAAAGAGTTACAGCTAAAAAATCCAGCTAAAATGCCTTTGATTACAAGAAAATGATAACTTTGCCAGCGATCATTTAAAAAAGCAAAAATTGTTCGAAAAATTACTATACTACTGAACTAACCAGCCCATCTCAGACCCAAGAAACTCAAGACACAATAAGTAAGAGATTTTCCTCATGCAGTATCTCAATTAACTTGGCGAATTTCTAGAATAAAAGGTCTTCAATTGCTAGTATTGACATGGATGCCATATAATCAACTGATACCTTCATAAATATTTCAGATTAGATAAAAAGCTGTGGAGTTTAAAAAAGTTTGATTAAAAAAGAAAACTCATCGTTCTACAATTTTATTGAAAAGAGTCCTCCAGCATCCATTTCAAGACCATTGAGCAGTTTACTCTCCGAAAGAAAAAGGCACTCAATCGAATAAGTGGCTATCTAAGCAATAATTGGAGATCCAAGAAGTTGTCAAGGCGATAAATCTTCTTCTAAAGATTAGAATATTACTTCTTCGTAAAAGCTTCTAAGCAACCTGAAAATATTATCTTCAAATGATAAGCTTCTAACTTAAGCCTACTATAATATAGGTCTTTCTGAAAAATACAGGGCTAAAATGATAAATTGGCTACTGTAGGTGTTCAGAGTCTTTAATAAGAGCAATGAAAAGACTATTTTCCTATCTATATCTCTGATGGACCGCTACTATTAACAAAAATTAGTACAAAATGAAAAGATCAACAAACAAGATTTTCACCTAATTGGGCTTGCTTGCATATCAATATCCTCAAAATTAGAGGATCTTATACCAATTTTCCCTAGAGAAATCATACAAGAGGCAGCCCATGACAAGTATCAAAAAAAGGAGCTTGCATCAGCTGAATTAGACATTCTTAGATCGCTAAGTTTTAAAACCTATGAATAAAGTTTATATGAGGAATCTATGACTTTTTTAAAAAACCATCTACTTAATAATGCAGACCAACTTATTTTCTTCGATCAGCATGAGGAGTAAGCATTATCGAAATCAATACTAATTATATGCTTTTCAATAGCGCATAACTTAACTTTATCCAATCAAAGAGACTAAATAATGATTGTTGCCATTGTGGTTTTGGCATTGAAAGTCCTCGGCAATTAAAATTAAATGAAGCAAAGTCAGCGACTCTTTAAGACTGATAGGATCACTAACTATAATAATAACCTCATAGAAATGGAAATCAATAAAGTATATTAAAACTTAAAATTAAATTATTAATCACGGTTAGAAGTGAGACAACGCTGCTAGTAAATAGCTAAAAACATTTAAGAATTTGAACTCAGATTTAAAGGTATGAAAAATCTCATTAATGATCATCCATATTTCTTGATACTAAGATAAACATTAAGTGGACTTTAATTAGAGTGATTATTAATAATATCGTAAATGTAATTTTAATTATGATATGTATAAGTAATTCGAATGTTGATCTATTTTATCTGTTTTATCTTTATTAATCTAATAAAGACCATGGGGTTTTGGGGTTTTGGGGTTTTGGGGTTTTGGGG